CCCCAAAACCCCAAAACCCCAAAACCCCAAAACCCCAAAATCTAAGAATATAGTTGAAACTAATGCTTTCCTAAAATTATGTTATGAATCATGGATTCCTCCAATCATGGTTAGAAATGATGGCAAGAGTTTGACGTTAGCTTGATCATTCTCATAAATCTCTCCATCAATGTTGAACCAAGATTTAGTATCTGGAGAAATCTGAACTTCAGAGACTTCCATTCCATTAAACTTATCAAACTCGAGATGCTTAGCATTCGAGAATTTAGATAAGAACTTTAGAAGCTTCACTTTTCCTCATTTAGTCAAAGTAGCTAGACTGATGGATCCATCATTGAACCTGCTGGTGGGCATAAACCTTTCTTTCTTATTAAGCGAACTCCTTCATTCATGAGTCACCATTCCGAGGAAAGAGAAATCTGAATCTGGGTGATCATTCCAAGGATTCTCTCCAATTTCTGAACCTTCGGTAGCTTCAGTAGATTCAGTTTGAATTGATGAAGAGATATTTAAACCAACGTCATTTTTGCCATCTTCTTCATCTAAATGTTTTCTTGCATTAAAGTCTGAGTTGATCTCGAAATCACTCTTAAACTGAACATTACACTTGTAAGTCTTCATTTTCCATGAAGTCAAGAAGATTTTGGCTGCTGAAACTGCGTATCTTGCTGACTTGAACAGCTTTCTAAGTTTTTCAGCATTTTTGACAACATCTCCAAGGAGTCCCCAAAGAATAACTGTTGCGTAGATCGGAGTATCTGAATTTGCAAATTGAACTTTCATAATGTCAGTTTGGACAGTAGGTCTCCTAACAATGTTTCTACAAGCCTGGAAGACATCTTTTCCTTTAAGATCACATCAGACAGCATTCTGAGAGCCAGCAGGAAGAAGCCCAATGGGGGTCTTGATCAGATGTTTGCATGCAGGATTATTCAAAACTGAGTTGATCAATTGGCTAAAGAGTCCGTCTCCACCAATTAAGATAATATCTGTGTAAGGAAATGGTTTATCACTAAACTGATTGACCCATTCTTCAATATATGTCTCAGAATCAGTCTCGTAATGGTCGTACTTGATCCCTGTTATATTCAGAGTTGGAGCAAGGATGTCTTTATAATATCCTCTTCCTCTCTGTTTCCCAGAGATTGGATTCACAAGGACAGCAAGGTGTCTATCCTCTGATTTATTCAAACTGTTCAATATGGTTTCAGTCCTAATTAATTCTTCCACAATATCAAAATAGAAGATTTCTTGCTTAAAGTTAGAATGGATCAGTGTGAGCATCATCTAAATGAATTAGGCCAGGAAATAAGTCTTTCTTACCTCTTCTTCTTCATCTTCATGTAAGAGATAATCTCCTTTCTTAAGAGAAGAGTTGTTCACCAATGAGTCAAAGTTTGGGCTACCTCTTGTCACCTAAATTTAGAAGTTGTCTCAAATTCTGATTGGACTACCAAAGCAAAACCAATATTTGGCAAAGAAAATACGTACTGTTACCCAAATTTTAGGACCAAGGATATCTAAAATCACTTAAAAAGCAGTTCTTTATTATTCAAAAACTTTCAAAAAAAGTGATAGCCCTTTGAGCCTATCTTGCTTAAAAAGCCCTTTCAGGCTTAGAGCTTGGCTTGACTATTTAAAATTATTCTTACTGATGGTAAAATACCTTAACGAGTTGTTTAGATCTAAGGAAGGAATAAAAGTGGCAAAAATTGAAGATTCTTCATTTTTTCTTGAAATACCTTTATAAAAATGTATCGAAATCAATCAAGAAGGGACACTCAGGCCTAGCCTGAGCTTGAGTTGGTCTTCTTGACTGGCTTTGGAATGACTTTGGCAGCAAATAGATTTCTTTGAACTCAAGACCGAACTCATTGGCTAAGGGGTCTTTGGAACATTGAGTATTAACAGAGGTTTTTGAACTGGAATTAACATTATTTATAGGATAAAAAGAGATCGAACTGTTGAGCATGCTTCTCTTGACTCCTCCTCACAGTAGCTAACTTCATCCTATCATATCATTCCTGATAAGTTCTAGAAGAATTTGAATTTCCCATTGGTGATTATAGATTTCTAAAATAAATTTAAAATCCAATCCTTTCTTCCTTTATAGGGGTTTTGGGGTTTTGGGGTTTTGGGGTTTTGGGG